GCCTTCTTTTCCAGGAAACTCACACCAGTGGAAAGACATTATGACATTGGAGACCGAGAGCTCTTGGCCATCAAAATGGCATTGGAGGAATGGAGGTATCTGCTGGAGGCGGGCATGCACTCAAGCTTGATCTACACAGACCATAAAAATTTGGAATATTTGAGAACAGCTAAGCGCCTGAGACCACGTCAGGCCAGATGGGCGCTGTTCTTTTCGAGATTTGTGTTTCACATCACCTATAGACCAGGGTCTAAGAACACAAAGCCTGATGCTCTCGCATGTTCGAGGACCCGGGGGAAATCTCTAAACCTGCAGTCTGAACTCCTGTCCAAGTTGCAAGCAGCATCTGTGGGAATACCCAGTCCACCCAGAGTTTCGGTGCAGAACAGGGAAGGTCTCTTGTGGAAGGGGAAACAGATTGTGGTACCCGAGGAAGCTAGAACCCTGATCCTGGGCTACTGCCATGACCATCCGTTGGCAGGCCATTTTGGAGTATTGAAGATATTGGAATTGAAACAAGCCCACCAGAAACAAGGCCTTGGGGCTTGTTACGACCTTTGCCAATACCTGATAGACCATGGAAAATGATATCCATAGACTTTACTGTGAAACTTTCACCCTCTCAGGATCACACTGCAATCTTCATGGTAGTGGACAGTCTGTCCAAAATGGCCCACTTCCTACCATTGAAGAATATGCCTTCGGCGCCGGAAACTGCGCGGATCTTTATCAAGGAAGTTGTAAGGCTCCATGGGGTGCCTAGGGCATATTGTCTCGGACCGAGGGGTTCAGTTCACCTCAAAGTTTTGGAGAGCCCTGTGTGAAATCTTAGAAATCAAGCTATCCTTCTCTTTGGTATACCATCCACAGACAAATGGGCAGACCGAACGGACCAACCAAACCCTCGAGCAATACCTCAAGTGCTACACTTCCTCCCTCCAAGATAACTGGCTGGCACTCCTGCCTGTAGCAGAATTCGCCTACAATAATGCAAGTCACTCTGCCACCAAGCAATCCCTGTTCTTTGCCAATTATGGATTCCACCCTACATTCCTGCCTGATCTGATTCCGGAAACTTCAGTCCCTGCCGCTCAGGATACGCTGGATTTCTTTCCTTCCAATAACAAGGTGTTACAGGAGTCAGTTGCAAAGGCTCAAGAAGACAATAAAAAAAGCCTTTGATAGAAGAAGAGGCGAACGGATTCTGCATCTGGGAGACCAAGTCTCTCTGGCAACGACCAATCTGAAGTTGGCATGTCCATCAAGGAAATTGGCATCCAAGTTCGTGGGCCCATTCTGGGTAAAGCGTATAATTAACGAGGTTGCTTATGAGCTAGCACTTCCTGAATCCTTTAAGATACATCCTGTCTTTCATGTGTCTGTTAAAACCTGCAGCACCGGATCCTTTTTCAGATCGTAGGTCTAGACCAGCAATGGGCAAACTACGGCCCGCGGGCCGTATATGGCCCGGCGGACCTTTTAATCCGGCCCGCGGAGCTAGGCTCCCGCTAGGCTCCTCTCACAGTCCGCCCTGAAGACCGGTGTAGCATGAAAATCTGTCTCCTATGAGGATTTGTTCCCCTCGACGTATCTGCGCATGTGCCGGAGATCGCCGATCGGCTGCTAATGCCTGAAACTGGCACATGCGCAGATACGTCGAGGGGGACAGATCCTCACAGGAGACAGATTTTCATGCTACACCGGAACGGCGCGGGAAAAGGTGAGAGGAACGCGCGGAGCAAAGGTAAGTGAATTGACACAGGGGGGACTTGGGGACTTAATATGGGGGATGAATTACTATATGAGGGATGAATTACTATAGGGGGGATGAATTACTATATGGGGGATGAATTACTATATGGGGGATGAATTACTATATGAGGGGATGAATTACTATAGGGGGGATGAATTACTATAGGGGGGATGAATTACTATAGGGGGGGGGGTGAATTACTATATGGGGGATGAATTACTATATGGGGGATGAATTACTATATGGGGGATGAATTACTATATGGGGGGTGAATTACTATGGGGGATGAATTACTATATGGGGGATTAATTACTATATGGGGGATTAATTACTATGGGGGATGAATTACTATGGGGGATGAATTACTATATGGGGGATGAATTACTATAGGGGGGATGAATTACTATAGGGGGGATGAATTACTATATGGGGGATGAATTACTATGGGGGATGATTTACTATAGGGGATGATTTACTATAGGGGGGATGAATTACTATAGGGGGGATGAATTACTATATGGGGGATGAATTACTATGGGGGATGAATTACTATATGGGGGATGAATTACTATGGGGGATGAATTACTATGGGGGATGAATTACTATAGGGGGGATGAATTACTATATGGGGGGGATGAATTACTATATGGGGGATGAATTACTATGGGAGATGAATTACTATGGGGGATGAATTACTATATGGGGGATGAATTACTATATGGGGGATGAATTACTATATGGGGGATTAATTACTATGCTTACTATGGGGGAATATTACTATACTTACTATGGATGACACATACACATCATTCATCTACTCTTGGTCCGGCCCCCGGGTCCATTATATGAACCCATTGCGGCCCTCAAGTCAAAAAGTTTGCCCACCCCTGGTCTAGACCCACGGAGGCCATAGACATTGATGGAGAAGAGGAATTTCAGGTTGAAGCAATCTTAGACTGCAGGAAGAGGAGAGGTTTAACACAGTACCTCATTAAGTGGAAGGGCTATGGCCTAGAAGAAAATTCGTGGGAACCAGCCCAAAATGTCCATGCCACAAGGCTAATTCAGGAGTTTTTCCGCAGCCACCCACAAAAGAGGAGTCAGTTGGGCATCCGGAGGCTGCCCATAAGGGGGGGGAGCAATGTCAGGGATTCCAAGTTTCGCCACGGCAAACGAATCTGCACATACATAGGATCGTGACAAGACATACAGGCAGGTGGGCACTAGGACCCAGCTGCGCCTGTCACCAATGACGGCGCCGGGCAGGCACTAGGACCCAGGCGTGCCTGTCGGCGTCGGGCGGGCTATTTAAACCAGCTTTTACAATGCTCACATTGCCGTATGGTCTTGTTCCTAGTTGTTCCTGTTCCTGTGAGAGTTTTCCTGTTGTTGCCGAACCCTGCTTGATCCTGACCATTGCTGACCTTCTCCTGCCCTGACCCCTGGCTCATTTGACCATTCTTCTGCCTATTCCTGATTGTCTGATCTCCTGCTGCTGAACCTGGCCTGTGACCTGACGACCCTCTGCCTGCTGCTCTGTACCGCTCTGCCTCCACCGTTACCGACCCGGCCTGGCTGACTCCGCTATTGTTCCAGTGTGTGCTCTGTCCATCCATCCTGCACGGACCGCTCTGCCACTTCACATCAGGCTCTCATCCTGCTACGTGCCACAGACGGTCCGCTCTACCGCAGCTGGGTGTACTCAGGGGCTGCGACCGGGTCTCAGTCTGCTCCAAGTCCATCCCCACCATCAAGGGCTCTGGTGAACAAGCAGATTGGGGCTTAGACTCCGCACCCTGGGGAAATCTGGTCTGTGGAGCGCTAGAGCTACCGTAGGTAGGTACATGACACAGACACACAATAGAACAATGGGACAACCACATGGCATTAAACAATGAACAACCCCCACACCCCACCTATACATGTTTACACAATATCAGGACATTGCCACCCTGTACCCCTAACAAGCACAGGGTGACTTACACATAAGAGGGATATGGGGAGCTGAGACAAGGGTCTCCCCACCTCTCCAAAGGGGGCTGTGTTCCATGGGCCCCCCACCCAAAATCACTCCCGTCACATCTATCATCTCCAACCATTCTGCCCATTCTCCTCTATGCTCAACAAGGCATTTTCCTCCACACAGCTGCCGCTCACTGGGTATTCTCTTTTTCGGACCATTCTCTGGAAAGCCTAGAGATGGTTGTGTGTGGAAATCCCAACATAGCAGCAGTTTTTGAAATGCTCAGACCAGCCTGTCTGGCACCAACAATCAAGTCACTTAAATCCCCTTTCTTCCCCATTCTGATGCTCAGTTTAAACTTCAGCAAGTCGTCTTCACCACGAACCAGTCTGCCCATTCTCCTCTGATCTCAACAAGGCATTTTCCTCCACACAACTGCCGCTCACTGGATATTTTCTCTTTTTCGGACCATTCTCTGGAAACCCTAGAAATCCCAACATAGCAGCAGTTTTTGAAATACTCAGACCAGCCTGTCTGGCACCAACAACCAAGTCTGTTAAATCCCCTTTCTTCCCCATTCTGATGCTCGGTTTGAACTTCAGCAAGTCGTCTTCACCATGAACCAGTCTGCTAATTCTCCTCTGACCTCTACAAGGCATTTTCCTCCACACAACTGCCGCTCACTGGATATTTTCTCTTTTTCAGACCATTCCTAGAGATGGTTGTGCCTGAAAATCCCAGTGGATCAGCAGTTTTTGAAATACTCAGACCAGCCTGTCTGGCACCAACAACCAAGCCATGTTCAAAGTCACTTACATCTCCATTATTCCCCATTCCGATGCTCGGTTTGAACTTCAGCAAGGCGTCTTCACCGCGTCTAGATGCCTAAATGCATTGAGCTGCTGCCATGTGATTGGCCGATTAGCAATTTGTTACCAAGCAACTGAACAGGTGGACCTCATAAAGTGGCCGGTGAGCGTATGTACTAAAGGGTTATGATTATGACAGACTAAAAATTGTGCATAGTATTTTTTATTTTTGCCTGGAAAAGGACCTTACATAATACTCCTACATTCATATCTGCTCATTATGAAAAAAAAAAAAAAAACAAACAAACAAAAACCGCCCAGTACTAAGTTGTCCCCGTCTGTGTAAGGCAATCGTTCTACAGATGGGACAACTTATAAAATCCCACCATACATATGTAAAAGGCAGCAGTGGCCATAGAAAGTTTTGACGCGCCGTCAGATTTCAGTACAAATCATTTCCACTGAGGATGCTTGCTCAGTGAATCCTCTGGTGTTTCCGAAGGTCTGATTTCTGAGAGAAACATTTCCCGCACTCTGAACACGGAAAAGGTCTCTCGCCCTTGTGAATTCTCTGGTGTCTAAGAAGGCTTCCCTTTTGATTAAAACTACTCCCGCAATCTGCGCAGGAAAAAGGACGCTCTCCCGTGTGAATTATCTGGTGTCTCAGAAGGAGTCTTAGCTCAGTGAAACGTTTCCCGCACTCAGGACATGAATAAAGGTGTTCGCCTGTGTGAATTCTCAGGTGTCTATTAAAGTCTCCTTTCTGAATAAAAGATTTCCCGCATTCCGGACAGGAAAAAGGGTGTTCCCCCGTGTGAATCTTTTGGTGTCGAAAAAGGTCCCCTTTCTCAATAAAACCTTTCCTGCACTCTGGGCACTGAAAAGGACGCTCGCTTGTGTGAGTCTTCCGATGTCTAAGAAGATATTGCTTCCGAGTGAAGCTTTTCCCGCACTCTGGACAGGAAAAAGGACGTTCGCCCGTGTGATTTCTCTGGTGTATGACAAGGCTCTCTTTTTTGATAAAACATTTCCCGCACTCTAAACACGAGAAAAAAGCCTTGTCTTTGTGAATTCCCTGTTGTCCAACAAAATCTTTTTTCCTTGTAAAACATTTCCTGTCCTCTGAACTTAGAGATGGAAGCTTGTTGGTGTCGCTCCTCTGGTCTACAGCAGGAGATGATTCCAGTATAGGAAAGTAATTGTTTTCAGAACACAGGGATGCTTTATGATCCTCTGAGGTATTACAGACTCCACCTCCACCTATTGAAGAGAAACTTTTACTTTTTTTGTATTTTTTTTTAAATTTTAACATTTTTTTGCAGTCAATTTCCTATGTAAAGTACAACATATCCACTTCATTTGATATACAGTTGGTAGGGGAGATACGTCGATGACGTTCTTTTAGACAGCAATGGGGAATTTCCTTCCTAATTACAGCTCAAGGATGTTCTATTTGTTGATGAAAAGGCTGGCTCTCTCTGTTACAGGCTAATGTTTACTGGGAAAGTGAATGTAAAACATACTTACCTGCTCTGTACAATGACCCCCCCCCCCCCCCCCCCCCCCCCCCCCCCCCCCACTGGGGCTCCTGGCTCTCCATCTTCGGCAAGTGCCCCCATAGGTTTCCTATGAGGGCACTCCTGCAGGCTCAATTTTGAGCTGTGCTGCCTGCGTCTATAGGCACAGACAGCACAGCTCTGTCCCACCACAAAATTTGATTGACAGCAGCAGGAGCCCACGGCTCTTTTTTCTTTTTTTTTATTCCACGGTGGAGCGCAAAACACATGTAAGTGAACAAAACAAAGTGTATGTGAAAAAATACACACAAAAAGTTAATCTAAAAAGGCATTTCTCTAGTCCATCTCCCGAAGTAGTGGGACTCTACCAGGGGCAGACTGACAACTCATGGAGCCCCCGGGCAATAGGGGATTATGGGGCCCCTGTGTCCTTGCCCACACTCAAAGCACACCCAAAAAAGCCTATAAAAAGGTACCAGGGGTATTTCATGGGGGCCCCTACTGACCCTGGGCCCTCGGGCAGTGCACGAGTGCTCAAATGGTCAGCCCACCCCTGGACTCTACTCAGACCCCCAGGACAAAAGGCTCCTGACAGGGACAATGTGCACTTGAGGTCTACCTAGTCAAAAGGCCTGGTGGACTCCTCATGGTCAGGCTGAAGCCAAGCACTTGGTGAGAGGCTCTCCTGAGAAGAGGACTGCCTGCACATCCTCCCCTAGACTTTATTATTCTTCCCAATGATGCCAAAGATGGGGCACTATTCCTTCCACTGACACCAATGAAGGGGCACTAATCCTCCTACTGACACCAACAATGGGGAACTATTCCTCCCACTGACACCAACAATGGGCACTATTCTTCCTACTGACGCCAACAATAGGGTACAATTCCTTCCATTGACACCAATGATGAGGCACTATTCCTCCCACCGACATCAATGATGGGACACTATGCCTCCCACTGACACCAATGATGGGGCATTATTCCTTCTACTGACACAGACGATGAGGCAGTATTCCTCCCACTGACATCAATGATTGAGCACTATTCCTTCCACTGACACCAACGATGAGGCTTCATTCCTTCCACTGACACCAATAGTGGGCCAATATTCCTCCCATTGACACCAGTAATAAAGCACTATTCCTTCCATTGACATCAACGATGAGGCACTATTCCTCCCCGATACCAAAAATGGAGAACTATACCTCCCACTAACACTAATAACAGGGAACTATGCTTCCCACTGACACAAATGATGGGGTACTATTCCTTCCACTGACACCAATGATGGGGCACTATTATTTCCACTTACACCCCTGATGAGGCATCATTCTTTCTACTGACACCAATAGTGGGGCAATATTCCTTCCACTGACACCAGTAAGAGCACTATTCCTTCCACTGACATCAACCATGAAGCACTATTGTACCCCCTGACACCAATGATCGGGCACTATTCCGCTCCTTCAGCCTTCCTACCACTGAGGAGGTCACCAAGGTCTTCTCAGAAGCCCGCCTCACCACTTGCCCCCTTGACCCCATCCCCACACAACTCCTCCGGTCACCCTCCTCCTCCATCCTACGCTCACTCACCCACATCTTCAATCTCTCCCTCTCTACTGGCACATTCCCCTCCCCCCTAAAGTACGCGCACATCACCCCAATGCTCAAAAAACCCTCGCTGGACCCCACCGACCTGAACAACCTTAGACCCATCTCCCTGCTGCCATTTACTTCCAAGCTCCTTGAGCGCTTAGTCTACAATCGCCTAAGCGCCCACCTCACTGACAACAACCTCCTCGATCCACTACAGTCTGGCTTCTGTCCCCTACACTCCACCGAAACCTCCTTACTCAAAATCACTAATGACCTGCTAACCGCCAAAGATAATGGCCACTACTCAGTCCTCCTACTCCTCGACCTCTCCGTGGCCTTCGACACAGTTGACCACCCCCTCCTCCTTAATAAACTACACTCCTTTGGCATCAGAGACTCCGCTTTCTCCTGGCTCTCCTCCTATCTATCCCAACGCTCCTTCAGCGTTACCTATAACGCTACTACCTCCCCCTCTCTCCCCCTCTCTGTTGGGGTCCCCCAAGGCTGTGTCCTCGGGCCCCTTTTCTTCTCCATCTACACCTCCTCCCTTGGCAAACTGATACACTCCCACGGCTTCAACTATCACCTCTACGCCGATGACACGCAAATTTACCTCTCCACCCCTCAACTCACCCCTTCAGTGTCCGCCCATATCACCCACCTACTGAACGACATATCAGACTGGATGTAGCTCCATTTCCTCAAATTGAACCTTTCCAAAACCAAGCTCCTGATTTTCCCCCCAGCCCGTCCGGCCCCCCCCCTCCCCACCCTCTCCATCATGACCAACAACTCCACCATCAGTCCCACCCCAAAACCAAAGTCCTAGGTGTCACTCTAGACTCAAACCTGTCCTTCCAACCCCATGTCCAATCATTGGCAAACTCATGCAGGCTCCACCTCCGCAACATCTCCAAAATACGTTCGTTCCTAACCCCAGACACTACTAAACTACTCATTCACTCCCTTATTATCTCACGTCTGGACTACTGCAACTCCTTTCTCACCGGCCTACCTCATTGCAGACTATCCCCGCTTCAGTCTATCCTGAACTCAGCGGCCAGACTCATCCACCTTACCAACCGCTCCGTTTCTGCCACCCCCCTCTGTCATTCCCTCCACTGGCTCCCCATTGCCCAACGCATTAAATTCAAACTACTAACACAGACATACAAAGCCATTCATAATGCTGCCCCAAACTACCTCACCGACCTGATACCCAAATACCACCCTACCGGTAATCTTCGCTCCTCACAAGATCTCCTACTTTCTAGCTCCCTGGTGTCCACCTCCCACGCCTGAATGCAGGACTTCCCTCATCCTCTGGAACTCACTACCCCAATCCATCAGACTGTCACCTACCCTCCTCACCTTTAGGCGCACCCTGAAAAGCCATCTCTTCAGGGAAGCCTACCCCGCCCTCACCTAACAGCCGATCTCCTCCACTCCTCCCACCACTCCATCCCCCAAAGCCACTTCCTCCTGTACCACTATCCCCTCCCTCCTAGATTGTAAGCTCGAAAGAGCAGGGCCCTTGAATCCCTCGTGTTCTGTTTTGTTACTGTATTGTCTCATGTACTGTCCCCCACTATAATGTACAGTGCTGAGCAAACCTTTTAGTGCAATATAAATACTGTATAATAATAATAATATTTCCTCCCACTGACACCAGTAATAGAGCACTATTCCTTCCATTGACACCAATGATGGGGCACTATTCCTTCCATTGACACCAATGATGGGGCACTATTCCTTCCACATGATGGGGCACTATTCCTCCCCACTGACACCAATGATGGGGTACTATTCCTTCCACTGACACCAATGATGGGGCACTATTCCTCCCCACTGACACCAATGATGGGGCACTATGCCTCCCACTGACACCAATGATGGGGCACTATTCCTTCCACTGACACCAATGATGGGGCACTATTCCTTCCACTAACACCAAAGATTGGGTACTATTCCTTCCACTAACAGCAAAGATTGGGTACTATTCCTTTCACTGACACCAACAAGGGGGTACTATTTCTCCCACTAATACCAATGATGGGCCACTATTCCTCCTCCTACTGACTACATGTAATCTTTTTACTCCCAGTGACCAGCAAGTGTGAGGCGTTGTTACTCCCACAGACACTGGGGCACTTTTTTTTACCTCCGCTGGCCACAGTCCGGCCCCCTAACATCTGAACATTAACTGGCCCTTTGTTTAGAAAGTTTGGAGACCCCTGTCCGAAAAGTCTGATTTTCTCTGTCACTTCCCATCAGTCTGCAAAACCAACCTCATACTTGAAAGTAAATGAAAAGGGATCTACATTGAGTATTTATTAATGACCTATACTAATACCTAGAGAGGACTCCTGATGTTCACTTGCCACCATCATTCCTGGCTCCCCTGTAGACTGAAGATCACAACTCACATACATCTCTTCTTCTTCCTCTTTAACCTCAACTTCTATATAAATTTGTTCTTCATCCTAAACCAGAAGAATGACAGAACATAAAACCTTTAAAGTTCAGAGGACTGATACACAGAGATTACACCTAAGAATTGAATCTCTTATAGTCTACCTGATGATGGTGAGGGATGGTACAACCTTCCTGTGTGGAATCCTGGGAATACAGAGGACGGGGACGTCTCTGGTGGGTTCCCATTACTGGACCCATCTACCTGATGATGGTGAGGGATGGTGTCACCTTCCTGTGTGGAATCCCAAGAATACAGAGGATAGGGACCTCTCTCTGGTGGGTTCCCATTACTGGATCAATCTACCTGATGGTGAGGGATGGTGTGACCTTCCTGTGTGGAATCCTGGGAATACAGAGGATGGGGATATCTCTCTAGTGGGTTCGCTTTACTGGACCCATCTACCAGATGATGGTGAGAGATGGTGTGATCTTCCTGTGTGGAATCCCGGGAATACGGAGGACAGGGACATCTCTCCGGTGGGTTCCCATGACTGGATCCATGTACCTGATCATGGTGAGGGATGGTGTGACCTTCCTGTGTGGAATCCCAGGAATACAGAGGATGGGGACATCTCTCTAGTGGGTTCCCTTTACTGGATCCATCCATGGTGTGACCTGTGGAATGGAAAACAGAGGATGGGGAGTGGTCCCTTTACTGGACCCATTACCTGATGGTGAGGGATGGTACAACCTTCCTGTGTGGAATCCCGGGAATACAGAGGACGGGGACATCTCTCTAGTGGGTTCCCATTACTGGACCCATCCCCTGACCTGATGGTGAGGGATGGTGCGACCTTCCTGTGTGGAATCCCAGGAATACAGAGGACGGGGACGTCTCTGGTGGGTTCCCATTACTGGACCCATCTACCTGATGAGGGATGGTGCGACCTTCCTGTGTGGAATCCCGGGAATACAGAGGACGGGGACATCTCTCTAGTGGGTTCCCTTTACTGGACCCATCTACCTGATGATGGTAAGGGATGGTGTGATCTTCCTGTGTGGAATCCCAGGAATACAGAGGACGGGGACATCTCTCCGGTGGGTTCCCATGACTGGATCCATCTACCTGATCATGGTGAGGGATGGAGTATCCTTTCTGTATGAAATCCTGGGAATACAGAGGGCGGGGGACATCTCTCTGGTAGGTTACCATTACTGGCCCCATCTACCTGATGATGGTGAGGGATGGTACGATCTTCCTGTGTAGAATCCAGGGAATAGGGCGGACGGGAACATCTCTCTGGTGGGTTCCCATGACTGGATCCATCTACCTGATGATGGTGAGAGATGGTGTGATCTTCCTGTGTGGAATCCCGGGAATACGGAGGACGGGGACATCTCTCTGGTGGGTTCCCATGACTGGATTCATCTGTAGGAAACACACACACTGATTGAATCCATTGTTTCTATGTGTTTATCAGATGATGGGGGATCTAGGTGGACTCTCCGTACTGCTCTCCTTTACAATAAAGTCTCCTCTTACCGGTGATATGAGGGGCGGCTGATCCTCCATCATGACGTCCTTGTAGAGGTCCTTGTGTCCTTTATATATAAGTACTCCCTCTCCTCCATCATCTTACCTGGTTATATTAATATCTACAAATCAGTCATTCATATGCCATTTTTTGTGGTCTTTACCTGTGCTGCGATCTAGAGAAGGTTCCTCCAGTTTGGTTGCCACCATCATCTTGACCTTCTCTGTAGACTGCTTACAATCCATCACATATGTCTCCTCTTCTTCCTCTTTAACTTCAACTTTCATATACATCGGTTCTTCATTCTAAATTAAAGGAACAAAAGAGATGGTGGAACATCTTTAAAATGTGAGCACCGAAATGTCAAGACTAGAAGATCATCTCATACAGTCTGGAGGGAATTTTGTTTTCTAACCAGCTACCTACGAGGGTTGCTGTGATGTCCCTCTGTGGTATCTTGCCAGTTCAGAGAGTGGGGACACGGTAGACTCTTCCAATACAGAGGATGGGAACTCTTTGGTTAAGTCTTTACTATAGGAGCATGGTTCAAGTCTATAGGAAGTTCCAGGTGAAAGGGGCTGGAGGATGTTTCTTCATGAAGGAACTACTCCAGACAGGCAAGTATGAACTGGCTTGGTTGGGAGTTTTAGGTTAGCCAACCCTAGGAAGCCGGAAGGGGGGGTTCATTTTCTTTATGCTTAGATCTCCTCACCTCCCCCATCAGCAGTTCAGTGATTTTGCTGATGAGTTCTAGAATATTCCTTTTGTTCCTCTCAGGTATCAGGGAGTGAAGTGGTATGATATCTGGAGATGGGTGCTGGATGGAAGGCTCTCATTAGATGTCTTCTTCACCAATTCATAATCCTATTAAAACAGAAACTGAAAATTATCACTGCCTACATTGCTAGAATTATATTCACTTCTTCAGAGTGACGTCCCAGAATCCTCCACACCTCTCCGGTCAGGTCTGTTTTTTATATATAGAGATAAGAGTGACGTCATGTGACCTTCCAGGACCCTCATCACCTCTCCGGTTAGGTCTGTGTTTTATTAATAGAGGTAAGAGTGATGTCATGTGACCTCCCAGAATCCTCACCTCTCCGGTCAGGTCTGTGTTTTATTAACAGAGATGAGAGTGATGTCATGTGACCTCCCAGAATACCCCTCACCTCTCCGGTCTGTGTTTTATTAATAGAGATGAGAGTGATGTCACGTGACGTCCCAGAATCCTCCTCACCTCTCTGGTTAGGTCTGTGTTTTATTAATAGAGGTAAGAGTGATGTCATGTGACCTCCCAGAATCCTCCTCACCTCTCCGGTCAGGTCTGTGTTTTATATATAGAGATAAGAGTGATGTCATGTGACCTCCCAGAATCCTCCTCGGTCAGGTCTGTGTTTTATTAATAGAGATGAGAGTGATGTCATGTGTCCTCCCAGAATCCTCCTCACCTCTCCGGTCAGCAGGTAGATGATCTCCAGGGTGAGGTCCAATATCCTCTCAGTCATGTGACTCCACTTCTTGCCCAACCTCATGGATGTGGTCATATGATCCATATAGGACTTTCTTTTCTATAGATGGATATTAGTTGACTATTATCCAATCTGATATTTGAGATTGCGTCTTATACATTGTGATCGATGTGAATAAAATATTATATCACCTTTAAAAAAATATTTTACTATATGTAGCAAAATATGTTACTTTTTGTATAATAATAATAGTGTGTGACTGTGGGGGAGGGGGCATTAGAGTGTAAGCTCCTCTGTTACAGAGACTGATGGGACTGGCTCAGTGATCGCTGTACAGCGCTGTGGTATATGTCAGCGCTATATAAATGTATTATAATAATAATAGTGTGTGACTGTGAGGGAGGGGGCATTAGAGTGTAAGCTCCTCTGGTACAGAGACTGATGTGACTGGCTCAGTGTTCTCTGTACAGCGCTGCAGTATTTGTCAGAGCTACAGAAAGCCATTTAATAAAATATCTTATTACCTCCTCTGCTGCCAGTTCCAGCAATGTCTCCTCTCTTCTTCCTGTTTGTACATTACATCACTTCCTGTCTGAAGTGTCCATAGAGAGATCCTGTGAGCGAGTTCCACTTGCTATAAGATCACCTAGAGGAGAATAGAGGATTTACAGCCTTCTTTTATTTATTATTTTAGGTACTTATATATCGCCGTCAATGTACACAGCGCTTTACATATATATTGTACATTCACATCAGTCCCTAACCCTCAAGGAGCGTACAATCTAAGGTCCCTAACTCACATTCATTATACACATGCATACACATGCTAGGGCCAATTTAGACAGGATTCAATTAACCTACCAGCATGTCTTTGGAGTGTGGGAGGAAACCTATGCAGTCACAGGAAGAACATGCAAACTCCAGGCAGGTGGTGCCGTGGCTGGGATTCGAACCAATGACCCTAATACTGCCAGGCAGAAGTGCTAACCATTTAGCCACTGTGCTGCAAAGACATGCTGGTAGGTAAATTGAATCCTTCATGCCAAAGTTTCAAGCCTTTCTCAACCTTTTTACCCCAGGGGAACCCTTGAAATAATTTTCAGGTCCCAGGAAACAACTACTAAAACCAATTCAATGGTGGCAATTGGGAAGAATATCTCATTGCAGTGGTGATCAGAATGCCACTTTTACAGACAGGCTTTGGGTTCATGCAGCAGGCTCAGCCAAATTGACCCTGGAATTATGCAGGCACCATCAAATGGGAGGTCATTCAGCCACAGCTCAAGGAACCCCTAGCAATCTCTGGAGGAGTGCTAAGGTTCCATGGAACCCTGATTGAGAATTGCTGTTCTATGGTCTTAGGTTTGTGTTGGAAGCCAACCATCACACTGAGGGCAACCATCACACTCCAGACCACACCACACTCTACCTGTCCTCCACTAAAAAACACAGTGAAGTTTCATGTTCCTTGGCAGTATATGCCTTCCCGTAGCATAGCCTTCAATTAGCTCTCAACAGAAGTTTCCTTTAAGACCATCAAATATATAGACACCCGCCCTGTACCTGGAAACATTGTTTCCACATTATCTGTCACAATCATATGAGTTATATACCATGAGCAGCATGGGAACCAAATCAAAATTCTGCTTTTCTGTTTCTTGTACGTTGGCTATGACCCAACAAATGTATTTTTTGGGGGATCTCTAAGCCAGTAAGTGTGTCCAACTCAACTCTGAAGTATGTAGACTGGAGAAGAATCTCTCTGCTCTTAGAATGAACACCTTCTACTGATTCTTCCTTACTGTAAACTTCTTTGAGATGAAAAAAATAAACCAAATCTTGGATTCTAAATTCGTCAGAGGGAAGCTCTTGTATCTAATTGACTGGAAGGGATATGGTCCTGAGGGGAGGTGTTGGATTCCTTCTACGGATTTTTCTGCTCCCCGTCTGGTGGAAATTTTTCATCAGAAGTTTCCCCTTAACCCTGGCCCTAAAAGAGTGGGGAGACCTCGTAAGACAGGGGGTTCTGTCACAAGTTAGCCTGCAGTTTCGTTTGTGTTCTTACCTTTTTTGCTGCAGTCCTGTTCCTGATCCCTACTCATATGTTTGTCTGTGCTCATCTATAGGCGTCATCTGCTGTCCTCCTGGGTTTTATTTCCTTCCCTTCCATCACTTCCTGTCCCGCCTCCTTTTCTGCCTGTCTATATAAGAGGTGCTCGGACTAGGCTACTTTGCCTGAGCAACTTCCTACTTGTTGGAGTTCCTGTGTCTGAATCCTATGTTGACTACTTGTGTACCGACCCCAGTGGCGGTCTCTGACCTTGCTTGGTTTCCGTCTGTCCTGACCTTGGCTTGCCTATCGGATTCTGTTTGTCTGCTCCCGCGAGTGGTCTTCTCCACCTCAGCTGGGTGTACCTGGTGGCCGCGACCTGGTCCCAGCTTGCTGCCATTCCATCCCCACCATCAGGGGCTCTGGTGAACAAGCAGCCTGGGGCTTAGACTCCTCGTCTTGGGGAACCCCAAGTTGAGGATCAATAGCGCTCACTACCACAGGTGCTGACAACACCCTTCAGTAGATCTCAGTGACATATCTGGCTTGATGCATTAGGAGGAAACATCCTCAGGTGTCTCATACACATTGTCAAAAGCAGCCTGAAGTCTCTCATCACGATGTACAACCAAGGAGTATTACAGCCTTCGACCTTTCCATAGAAGGTGGAGAATTGCATATTGGAGCACCTGGAAGGACCAGGTCGTAGTATTACGATTTTGGGGAAGCTTGAACCTAGCCAAAATTTGTTCTACTTTTACAGCTACCGCTTAGCACACACTAGTAAGATTCTGGCGACAAAAATGAGGCTACCTTTGTGAGAGCCAGTCATATTGAAGGCTCAGGCAAGCTCATAGAGTCATGTACGAGGAGATTTCATACAGTTTCAAGACTAGTTTTGTAACACGCCAACAGATGGCAGCACAAGGTTGCACTACAGTCACAGAGAGCTCAGATGATAATGCATGTGGTCTGAATAGCACCAGTTGCACAGCTCCCGATGTACACAGGATGATGTCTTTTGGCACACTGACTTATGAAGATTGCTGCTCCCTGTGACTGTGTGTGCAGCCTTGTGCTGCCATCTGTTGGCGTGTTACAAAACTAAAAACAAAAGTCTCAAGACTTTTTGATACCACCACGTATTTAGCTTAATGTCCCCACACCATGGCATTCTTGTCCTTGCTCACCCCTTGGTGGGACAGTGACCTGGCAACAGCATGCAGTGAATACCATCTTCACCATCAGGAACTCTAGTGAAAACTGACTGGTGCTTAGACACCACACCTTGGGTGAACCCATGTCACTTGTCAACATGGAAGTTTCACAACTTTTGCTTGGACCTGGTCATCCCTTTGCTGCCTGACCACAACGTATTCCTGGGTCTGACTACTCTTTTGCCTAATATTTAATGTAATGTTCCAACACCGTAGCTTTCTTGTCCTAGCTCACCCCTTGGTGGGACAGCGACCTGGTGCCAGATGCAGTGAACCCCATCTCCACCTTGAGGAACTCTGGTGAAAACTGGCTGGTGCTTAGACACCACACCTTGTATGAACCCATGTCACCTCTCAGGGTGACAACATAACAACATGGGAGCTTGGAGAGGGATGAGAGAGTGCCAACAAACATAAAAAAAATATGGAAAATCTTACAGCAAAGCATTAAAAATTTGGATATGTTCAGCTTAACCTTATCTCGCCCGGTTTATGGCCGAGTGGTGACCGGCAAAATCCCTCACCTTTCCAGGTGGACGCCATATGGCGTCCTTTTGGGCATGCGCAGTTTGCGCGCCTGCTGAGCCGCGCTGTGGCGTGATCTGTCACCGGCCGTGTACCTTGGACACGGCCAATGACAGATCTAAGTACCGGCCCCGTTGCCAGTACCGTGTGACCTGCTGTGACCAATCACAGCAGGTCACATGACAGTTGTATACAATGGATGGCTTCATTCATGCCATCCATTGTATACTAGTGTGTCTAGCTGTGAATGGTCACAGCGATCACATGCACAAGCTGGGCCATCACTGTGTCATGTGATTAGCCGTGGCAAAATCACAGCTAAGCACAAGAAAAAAAAAAAACCCTGAATGAATTGATGTCATTCAGGGAAATGCTTGCTTATAGCAAAGTAATTACTATGGTAACATTGTACTACTTTAGTCATAGTGGAATATAAAAAAAAAAATCTTAAAAATAGAAAAAAAATTTAATACAAAATAAAAATAAAAAAAATAATTTTTTTTTCATACTGTCACCAGACAGTGTTCCTGATCACCGCCATGCCAGTTATATGGTGACGCTGTACTGCACTTGTGACAGTATGTAAAAAATAAATTGTGAAAATAATTTTAATTTTTTCATTTTCTGAAAAATTATGACAAAAAAAAAAAACAACTTCAAAAAATTCGCCATGCCTCTTATGATGTACGTCGGACTGTCTACTCTGCAAAAAGGGGTCATTTGGGGGATATCTGTACTGTTCTGACATTCTTGGACCTCAAGAAATTAGATTGGCTGTCAGTACTTCAGGATTGATCAATATTCAGATCTATACCATAGTTTGTGAACTCTATAACTTTCCTACAAACTAAATAATACATCCTAATTTGGGTTATTTTCACCAAAGACATGTAGCAGAATACATCTCGGCCTAAATTTATGAAGAACAATTATTTATTTGCAAACTTTTATAACAGAAACAAAGAAAAACTTGGTTTTTTTTTCACAATTTTTGGTCTTTTTTTTTTGTTAATTTAGCAAAAAATAAAACCCCCAGTGGTGATTAAATACCACCAAAAGAAAGCTCTAGTTGTGTGAAGAAAATGATAAAATTTTAGTTTGGGTACAATATTGTATGCAATTGTCATTCAAAGTGTGAAACCTGAAAATTGGCCTGGGCAGGAAGGGGTGAAAAGTGCCCGGTATGGAAGGGGTTAAAAAAAGGACATCTTGGATGCTTAATTATCCAGCTCTAGTATATTGTAGACCAATGTCAAAATTTGTTACAGTGGTTTGCATCATTCAGATATTCG